ATCCATGAAAAATTTACAGATTCGCATTTTCGATTTTATTTGAGTAAATTGTAACCCAATTTTGAATAATATAAGATAATTTTGGCAACATCGCCATTCGTCGAGACGAGACAGGTCGACGGCTATGCTGTTAACGCTGTTAAACGGCTATGCTGTCGGCCTGTCGACAGCAGATGTCTACATAGCTGCTATGTATTTCTTTTTAGAGGTAACTTTGTAAGTGTGAACATAAGAAATAATTATGCCGACTGTTTATACAACAGAAGAAAGGGTACAAATAATAAAATGGTACTTTGGAGGCAGTTCAGTACAAGAAACTTTCAATTGATTTATTATGGTTTTTGAAAATAGGCCAAAATCTATAGAAAAAAACATAATTAGCCATTATTCATCAATTTGAAAAGTTTGGCTGTACATGTCTAATGTCAGATGTAAAAAATGGTGCCAATCAGATCAACCTCGCGAAAAGAAAATTTCTCAAAAATGCGAAATTAGAGAAATTAAAGTTTGTGTATTGGCTGAAGCGACGCCGTGTTCAAGTAAACAAAATGCCGATGAAGTTAATTTGAATGCAAAAACAGTGAGGAATATTTTGAAAAGAAATACCATTGTTATAAAGTGCAGACAACTCAAGAAATATTTCCTAATAATAAATTTAAACGGATCCAATTTTGTGAAATTATGATTGAGAGATGCCATGCAAACAATAATTTTTTAAGAAATATTTTGTTTACAGATGAGTCCTCCTTCACAATTCACAAGAAACATAATTAATCCACTGTACGTTATTGGTCTCAGGAGAATAAGCATTTAAGTGTATCTGTGCGTACGCAGTATCCACAAAAATTGAATGTTTGGACTGGAATTTTGGGAGACCATATTAGTGGTTCTTTTTTCATTGAAAGAAATTTAAACGCAGTCCAATATCTCCAATTACTGCAAAATCAAATTATTCCTGCACTTCAACGTCTTCAAATTAACTTCAACGAAATTTCGTTTCAACAAGACGGCTGACCTGCACATAATGCAAAAGTCGTTAGAGACTATTTATCGTTAATTTTTGCTGAACGTGTCATAAGTACAGACGGTACAATAAAATGGCCCCCTCGGTCACCTGAGTTAGATCCTCTAGATTTTTATTTTTGGGGGATGCTAAAAACAAAGTTGTACAGGCATGAGTTCGAGCGAGCCACCAACTTAGAGCAACTAAAGGAAAAGATAATCCAACTTAGCCAAAACATATCGGCAGATGAACTCAACGCCATGAGGAATGCTTTGTATAAATATTTGGTTACTGTTTGTTACAACTTGGTGGTCTGTTTGAACATTTAATTACCTAAGAATTTGGTTTAGAATTTCTAATTGTTTGGAGTTATTTTTAATTTAAACAGTAGTGTTGGAATTATTTTTTATTTGATTTCATTTTTATAGAACAAATTTTATACTAATTTTATCTTTTTTTTTTTCATTTTTATAGAATTCTTATTTTCACACTTACCTCCAATACCTCCAAAAAATCTAAACGAAACATAGTTTCAAAGATATTATTTGAAAAATACCAAATAATATCTTATTTTTAATTAAAAGACTATAAATATCAACTACAGCAAATATAGAAGGACGTTGAAAGTATTTCAGTACATTTTTCTTCGATTCAAGAAAACATGTTTGTTTATGTACTCGCTTAAATATTTTAACACGTTCGCTGCCGATCTTTAAAATGCAATATATAGTAGGGGCCGACAACGTTTTTTGAATTTTTCGTTTAAATGTTATTTAGAAAAGTTGCTTGAATAGTTGCACTAAAGCTATGTCAACTAATTTTTTTGTCATTAGATATACTTTGTGATATCACGCGCCAGCGCGTGATCGGTGTGGTCCCAGGAATTTCATCTCAATTAGCCGTATCACGCCATAGAGTGAGACAATAAAACGACGTTATTATAATACGAAAACAGAAACTATATTTATATTATATTATATATACTAATTCGAATAAAACGAACAATACATAAAAAATTTATAAAACAAAAATATTACTCAGATCAAAATAAAATAAATAAAAAAACTAAAATAAGTGATCAAACCACAAATGTCCCTGTGGATTAAACATTTGTAACTTATTTATGAATAATGGTACAGCAATCTAGACAATATCCTGGTTCACTGGGGCACGACCTACATGTGTAGATAGTATCCTTTCTTTTTCCATTTTCGTAACATAACTTGCAATGTTTTCTAGGTGTTTTCTTAATACCTGGTGGTGCCACTCTTTGTGACATAATGTGACCAACTTCTGGGGGTCGTCGGTGTGCTTGGTCTTCTTCTGCCCTCTTCTGGGCCGGGGCTAATAAACTTTGTATGACTCGAATACGAAAGTCATAAAGACTTATTTTTTGGGTAGAGTATTTGTTATATAAATGGTGTGAATTGATAAGCATCAATTGCAGCACGTGGATAAACATCTTCGTAGGCCATCTTAATGTATTTCTCTCTGCCGGGTAATAAGAGAGCATTTGGTCATGTCTGTCAATACCGGACATATACTTATTGTATTGAACGATCGGTAAGGGCTTCGATACAATTTGTTGTCTTTTATTTGGTACATCCACCATTATGTTTCGATATTCATTAGAAATATAGGACACATTCCTCTTATCTCTCCATTTTCCTATGAGTACTCCATCTGCATACCTTCCCATTACTTCACCTTTTTTTAACTTACTGTCTTTTATTTCCTTCGGTACATGCTTTCTGTCCAATCTTAAAGTTCCCGTACAGTGTGTTTTATGATTCAATAGTGTTCTAGCTAATAAAAAACTGTTATAATAATTGTCCATATACACACTATGTCCTACTTCCAAAAAACCGTCCAATAAATGCATTACCACTTTTGATGCATGATCTTTACCACCCAGATCGTCCAGTTTTCCTGCATAAACGGCAAATTTTAAAACCATACCAGTTGGGGTTGTCAGCATGTATAATTTAATGCCATATTTATGCCTCTTATTTTTTATATATTGGCGAAATTGAAGTCTGCCTCGCCATAACACCATAGACTCATCTAAACTTAGCTCCCGTCCTGGATAATACAGTGCACATACTTTTTCGTTAAAAAAATTAATTAGGTATCTAATCTTCAATAATTTGTCTTCAGGTAAAATACCATTTTCTCTATTTTCCGTGAAATTCAGGCAACGCATTATCAATAAAAACCGATTTCGGCTCATAACTTTGTGAAATATCCCAATGCTATATAACTCATCTTGTCGCCAATAGTCTTGGACACGGTTTATTCGAATATTGCCCATGTGTAACAGTAAGCCTATGAACAGTAACAAATCTTCAGAAGTTAACTGTTTCCAGTTAGTTATCCTGGATTTAAAGCATGTTCTTTCAGATAAAAATAGATTAATGGCGTAACTGTTACTCAAATCACAAATTTTTGTAATAAAATCGTCTGTCACAAACAATCTAAAATATTCAATCGGTGTCATTCCAGTTACGTCTACTAATAATCTTTCGTGTTCAGTAAATTCAAAAACATCTTTCATTGTGGTTGGATTCAAAGAAAATTGTATAGACTGGTCTTGATTATGAGAAAGGTTTTGTGGACGTTCATTATCATTATTTTGTAACACGTACTGTTGTACACCAATATCATTTTCAGAATCCTCAGAATATACTTCGTCCGATTCATCCAAATCACCAAATACCATCTCGTCCTCGTCGGAGCTGTCATGTTCCAGTAAATATAGTAGTTCTTTTTCACTTAAAGGCTGTTTTAAATCAATTTTTACCTTTTTTGGTTGAGAAGGTCCTGCCACAATGTTATTACTTTCCGCCATTTTCACTAGACTGTCAACATACACTGGTACTGTCAAATCAAAAACCGCGCAATGTAAATCATAACCTATGATCGATCCTAGCAGGCCGACACTTATTTTTAAACTCATTCCATAAGCCGTATTTAAAAACCTACATTATAGAGCTTACAGCTATATCACGCACTGGCGCGTGATCGGCCTTTTTCCAAGTACGACCATCACGCACTGGCGCGTGATCGGCAGCGAACGAGTTAATTAGTTTTTCAACTTGTTACTTGTTACTTGTTTACGAAAAGCAGTTCAGTTTCATTAACGATAAAAACGACAACGACTTACCTCTACTGTTTTTCTCGTAGAGTCAGAGAACTATGAACACAGTTCGTAGTTCAGTGTCCTTACTTTAAAAGCTCGACGTTACTAAATAATTTTGTAAGAAGGTTTTGTATTGTGGTGTCATATTGCATTTTATTATTTTTATTACGAATAAGGCACAATGTGACTTTAAAATAAGCTTATTTTGATGTTAAGATTTCTAATTCGGAAATCGTACTTAAAATACGAAACAATAATAAATTTTATTTACATAAAACGATTTCCGAAGTGGAAATCAAAATGTTAAATTAAACTTATTGTAAAGGAAAATTGTGGCATATTTAAAATAAATAGTAGGCTGTCATTTAAATCAATTCGCCCAAATTTGATTATCTTAGAACGTTGTTAAAATGATAAAAAGACAACAGGTCAAATAAAACCAATAAACTGGGCAACGTTGAACTTCTCCTCTTTTCTTAGTTCCAATAATGCTATTTCGACGATATAAAGGGCGGACCTAATATACCTTTCTCTTTTTAAATAGGTGTTTCTCACTGAATCTCACATATGGTACATACCGACCATAAACTTTTACCTAAACTGTATATTAATTGATTAAACAATTAATTTCCTACATATTTAATAAAAATAATAAATTTATCAATAAGTTTACTACTTTGTAATGGTAAAAAATTAAAATTGCACAATACTTTTACTTGAAAAATTAACAAATTTATTAATTTACTATTAAGTTGTTATTGCGTATTTCGATTTTACATTTACTATTTTTGTTCATTTTGATTCTAACAAATGCAGTATTTTTAAATACGTATAAGTACAGACAATTCTTTATTTTAGAGTCTTTAAGAATGTACCCCGTGTTACCCTTTTATGAAAGAAAATGCAATGAAGATTATCATGTACCAAACTCTGAGGTGATTATTGAAAAAGGAAAAGCAGTACTGATACCTTCGTATGCATTCCATATGGATGAAAAGTATTTTCCAAATCCAAATATATTTGATCCCGAAAGGTTTAGTCATAAAATAGACCATACGAATGGCATTTTCTATATGCCTTTTGGAGAAGGCCCCAGGAAGTGTTTAGGTAATGTTATTAGGTTTTAATCCTTTAAAAACTTGTTTTTTACTTGTTTGCATTTTTATGTTCAGAAAACGATTATTAATACATACTGTGATGCGTGACTCTTTTAGACAGCAGACTGGGTAAAACACAGGTTTAAATTAAATAAAATTATATTCGAAATAAATAAATAACAAAATAAAATAAGATCCGAGATAATATATACCTATACAATAAATACATATGAAAACATCTAAATAAATAAATTCTATTGTATTTAATAAAACTAAAAATTACTGGGGTTGATATTTGTATTGATTGGATATTTTCATTTAACATTAATTTAATTCTCAGTCTCAGTTTTGCTTGTCGCATCGCAGTCTTCGATCAGTCGTCACTCTGGAGTGTTATGTTTTTTTTTTCTTTTTATCTTGTTTCTAGTTAATACTTTCAAGTGTTGTTTTCCATATAGTTTTAGCGTTGTTATATTTTACATTCATATCAATATGGATAGGAAGAAAAGCAAAATTGAATTTGAAAACAGGCAGTTTCAACTTGAATAGACAGATTTATATTGTTTCACTTTGTCAAACCGAGTTGGAGCAGTAACTGTTTGTTTGATTTGTCATCAGACTGTAGCAATAATTAAAAGTTCAAATGTTAAACGGCATTACAAAACAAAATATAAAAATTTGACGAATAATACAAAACAAGAACTCTAATTCGTAAAAGTAAACTTAAGAGTTTACTGTCAAATTACGCTACATCTACGGAAATTATTAAACGATCAATGACCGATCAAGAAAAAAGTTCTGAGGCTTCTTTACGCATTTCCTGGACGCATATCAAACATGTGAAGCCATTTAGTGACGTGGCTATCTTTAAAAATTGTTTTCTGGAAGCAAGAAATTCATTATTTTAAAATAAGAAGCATGTTTTCGATATTCTTCAGCGTATTTCAATATCTACTACGTCAAACACAAGGAATACACAGGTATTGGCAGATGAAACATACAAAACGTCAAAACAAATCCTGGCTGTTACTAAATATTTTGCTTTGGCATTGAATGAGTCATGCGCCATTACAGATACAGCACAGCTTGTCATTTTCGTGCGCTACCTAGACAGAATCAGTGAAGAGTTTGTTGAAGAACTTAACTATTTTGCCAATGTCAGTAACTATTACAGGACAAGATTTAAACAAGGCTGTGGTGGACTATTTTGTCAAGGATAGTGTTATATTTTTATTAATTCTAATTTATAGTTCTTAATTTAATTTATTAAAGGTTCAATATTTATAACACTCACGAATTTATTAAAGTCTTTATTAATACTAATTTATTTTACAATAATTTATTACGACGTACATTTAAATACGCGGCCCGAATTTATCTTCTTACTAACTGCTCAATGAAAAACCCCCGTTATTTATATCCAACACCGCTAGACTAGAAGCATCTGGGGAATCCTTTCGATTAGAATTGGACCCCATCGAATAGACGGGTATTTCGGTGAAGATACTAGAAGGCGGTCGACGGCTGAAACTAGTTTTTCAACTGCTTGAAAAACCTCGAGTCGTGGATGGCTCATCAAAATTGGGGTCTAGAGGTTTCTGTAAACAACCGTCGGAATGACTAGAACAAAAACAGAATTAGTCATAATATATTTACAGTTGTAAACGCCACAATTATCGTAACAATAGTTTTGATTTAAAAAAGTTATTTCAATCACAACGGACGGCGATGCAGCTATGGTGGGGTATAGAAAAGGCTTGGTTCAGCGACTAAGTAGCCATCCTATGTGCACTGAAAAGCTTATATCGTATCATTGTATTATTCTCAAAGTGTGTTGTATTACATTTAAATCCAAATCTTCGCAGTAAAATGTAAACCGTCATCAAGATAGTGAACTTTGTACGTGCAAAATCATCTATAAGGCATATAAATATAAATCATTCCTAGAAGACACTAATGCTTAGTTTGACGATTTGCTTCTTTATAACAACATGAGATGGCTAAGCAAAGGTTTAGTGCTTGAAAGATCTTTGCAATACTTGACAACATAAAAGAATTTCTGTCCACTATTGATAATGAAGCTGCAAATAAACATTTGGGCTTCTTCTTTGATAGAAAAAACGTTGTAACTGAATTTTTGGCTAATATCTTCAGACATCTAAACTTTTTAAATTTGTTTGTTTGTTTGAAAACTTGTTTGTGAACTTCTGTCGGATATAAGAAGTTTTTTTTAATATTGCACTTTTTTCTGGGGACATTAAGGTAGAACTTTTGCATTTTCCTCTCTTTAAATCGGTCTGTGATAGTAATAAAGATATTAATGTTACCCAGTTTTATTAATGAACTTGATTTTAAAAAACTGGATTTGAAAAAACGATTTGCTGATTTTTACAAAATTGAAAATGTTGTGCAACTGTCAACAGTTTTTTTTACTCAAGACTAGTGGTGTATGGACCAGCGAAGCAGCAGACGTTTTTAAGAGTAACAAAGCTGCCCTTCAGATATAAATCATCGAGTATCAGAGAAAATGTGTGTGACAAAAAATATTCAAAACTAAAATATTTGGTAATGAAACTGTGTACTATGTTTGGCTCAACTTATGTGTGATGTATGATATTGTTTGTGTCGAGATAGTCGCTGAGCCTTTCCTTTAGGATTAACTCGAGGACTTTGCCTAGAGAGTTGATTAGAGAGATTGGTCTGTATGATTCCACATTCGTACGGGGTTTACCCTTTTTGGGTATCATGCTAGTGTTAGCTATTTTCCAAGGAGTACGAAAATAGCTGTTTTTGAGACATCATTAATAGTTTTGGTGAGAAGGGGTATTATACTCTCAGAAAGTTGCTTTAGACACCTTCTACTGATATTGTCAGGTCTGAGAGAGTTATTTTTGCCTATGCGGCAATAACTCTCCGTTTCTCTGTCAGTAATAGGAAACTGGATCGGGACGTGAGTCGGAGTTTGATGCAAGAGAGTATTTCTTACTACATAGTCGACTTTGATTTTGAATAAGCGATCAAAGTTTTGATTATTGGGTGTTTAAAAGTTTTCGAATAGTGAGTTTCTGAATGTTTTGTCTTTCAGTTCAGGGGAACTGATAATTTGATTGTCAATCAACAGATGGGATGGTTGAGATAATTTTTGTTTAGTTAGGACTTTTGTTTCAGAATCTACTCCCATCTCTGTAATCCAATTTCGAGGTAGCATCTTCCCACTGGCGAGCCTGTAGGATAGATATTTCCCTCTTAATTCGAGCAGAGATGTGATTATACTCTGTTTTGACTAGGGGGTCTCTGTTGATCTTGTATTGACGTAAGAGTCGTCTTTTTTATGTATTTTGGCAATGATGTGTTGTGAAAGTGCCGGAGAGAAAGGTTGTATTGTTTTCATTGGAATTGAGTGATTGATTGTCTCGATTATAGGGTTTTCAATTTGAATGACACTCTAGTCAATACTTTCATTAGTATTAATTTCGCCTAACTCAGGAATATTGTTGGAGATGTATTGCTTGAAATGTGGTCAGTTTGCATTACGATAATCTCTTATTTGTCTGGGGGGGTGGAGGAATTTTGGGTGACATGATATCAAAATTAACTAATATCGGAAGATGGTCGGACGTTATTGTGTCGCCTATGTGGCACCGATCGTCAAACCTGTGCATCACGCTACCAGTAACGATGATGTGGTCCACGATAGATGCCCCATTTGCGTTCAAAAACGTGTAATCAGTGTTGGTGATTCTGATAATTGGAAGGTCGAGAAGAATATCAGTGAGTCTAATGCCTTCCGGGTTTGTGGAGTGGTCACCGAATTGTGTGTGTCTACAGTTCAGGTCGCCCATGAGAATTGCTTTATTAAGAGTTGAGAAGTACTCTAATAGTTAGGTAGAAAGCGGGCTCGCTGGATGCCTGTAGTAAGAGATTATCGTGAGGGTTTGGTTGTTTGGGAGGTGGAATCCGTGTTTGATGAGAATACCATTCCCACGGGAAACCTGACAGCGGCTTCGGTAGATTGTTGAATATCCTGCAAAAGTCGGAGTATTTTAACAAAGAGTGTCAGTGATGGCAAGGATTTGGATATTATGCTTTTGCAGGATATGTTTGATTGGGGATCTCTTTTTAGAGATCCCTTGGCAATTAACTGCTCCTAATGTGAAATCCATGAAAGGTGTTTAGTAGTTGGGATGGAATGTCATTTCAACCTTATTACTGTGGCCAGACAATATAATTGTATGCCCGAAAATTTTTTCTACCACAGAGCTCGTGATAGAAGTTATGAGATCCCGTCTTTCATGGAGGATGTTGAGTAGCACTAAGGTGCTAAGTTTAATGGTGCTTTTGAGGTCTGTGGTTAGATCGAAAGGGGGAGATGACTTTTCGATGGAAAGTGGTTGGGTTTGGTGTGGGTTAGTTGGTTGCTCGTGCCTTTTAGGGCAGTGGGAGGAGTATGCGGTGTGTTCGCCGCCGTCGCAGTTAGGGCACTTGAGGTGGGGTTTGGACAGTCGCTAGAATTGTGGCTTTGGCCACAATTGGGACATAAATGATCGTTGGCGGCACTCTGATATTGAATGGCCGTTTGTGCAGCATTTGCTACAATATTTCTGGGTTGGGATGATTGGATTCGCCCCGTGAGGGAGCTCAGTTTAGTGGATAAGTCCATCTAAAGGTATACCGTAGTTCAGAACATGCTTGAACTTTTCGGAAGAGGTGGTTAGAACTTTAATGCGTTTGGTATCTTTGTCAGTCTATCGAGATTTTACTCTCCACAGCTTAGCGATTGGGATGTCCTGATCTTTCTCTAGGATTTCGAAGAGTTCTTCCTCGCTATATTCGTAAGACACGTTAACAATGAGGAATTGATAAGCTTCTTGTCTAGTTGAATGATTTTTAGGAGCGTGGGCCCTGTTTAAAATTTTTATTTGAGTTTGTCCGGTGGCTATGTGAATTTTCTGTTGGATTTCTTCCGCATTCATGGAGTGTAGGGTTCTGAGATGTACGATACCATGATGTAGGACTTTCAGAGAGTGAATTTTATTGTATAGCATGGGTAAACATAGTATACAATTCAGAATGCAAAAAATATCCTCTGACTGAAGAGATCCTTGGCGATATCTTTGATAAGATATTCAAAGATTTTCGGATTGTTAATCGAATTCGTGATGTTAGGATTGTTTCTTGGACGTGAAGTTGGGGGCGCCTTAAGTGCAGTGGCGAACGACTGATTGTTTGATTAAGTGGGTGGAGTTTTTGAGGTGCTAGGTTGAGGTTGAGGTTTTTTTGAATTTTGATTTATTACTTGGCGAGAGGTCGATGGATTGTTCAGATTTGTTTTAGAGGACGATTGTTGATTAATTTAAGATGATTGATTGATTTGTGATGAGTAGGGTTTGTTAGATTTTCAGTATATTCTACTGAAACCCCGTACTAATTAACCCTTTTGGCAACGCCAAGCGTCGTCGGTTTTTCGGCTTAGTGTCTCCTATAGACGAACTATGTGCTGCGGCTTCACAGTAAAAACTCTCTCTAACCTTTCGCCGACGCTGTTATGGAGCGGGTGTGTCACCAGTGACCTGCTCACTCAGTGTTTCAATCAAAAGTGGTTGACCTGAAAATCGCCAATATTTATATACGCTGAGTTAGCGATAAATAGGGATTTTCAGGTCAGGGACCAGTAGGAAAATTTCAGGGCGGGGCGATGCGTCTCGGAATGCGTACTAGTCGCACTCGAGGACACGTGCAATATGTACAAACTGACTTTTAAATTTAATCGCATGATATGGGTGTGTAAATAATAAAAAAAAGTAAGAACAAAAAAAGGATAGCAAATGGGATAAAAAACCTTAAAATAATCTGCTATGCAGACGACGCAATACTACTTTCTCAAAGTGAAGATGATTAACAACGTCCAATTCCATTTTAACGATTTTTTCGATAGCGTCAGTTGGTTTTGTTCTACAACGTATTTCTTCGTTTAGGATTCGGTCTCTCGGAGAAACACCCAAAATCTGGCGCTTCATAGCCATCTGAGTCACGCGAATTTTATTAATTACCTTTTTTTGTGAGTGTTAATGTTTCCGCTCCATAAGTCAGTAGAGGTAACACACATTGTTCAAAGATTTTCCTTTTGAGAGATATCCGTAGATCCGATTTAAAAACATAGTTTAATTTACTAAACGCTGTCCAGGCTAATCTTATGCGATGTGGGAGCTCAAATATCTGATTACCGCCGCCAACTGAATTTTAGGTCCTAGGTACTTATACGATGTAGTCTACACAATATCCCTTCCATCAATAGCAGTATTTCAATTTAGCACAAGATTAGTTATGGTTTTCGTTTTGTTCATATTAATCTTTATCTCTGATATGGACCTCCATCTTATATAGGCCAAATAAATCGTAGAATATAAAATAGGATTTATAAACATTTTCCAACTTTTATAAACAACTTTTAGCTCGAAGTCCAAAACATCTTCACACTGATCACAAAATTGATTTTGAAAACTTTAGACACATAACATCCATCCATTATAAAGGGAATTTAAAAAAGGACAAATTGTCTCAATAATACAAATGACAGCATCCAGTTACCTTCGACATGAAGATCTCTTATAAGAAAAATAACGTTCGCTCTACCCTAGAATCAAAATCCAGCCGTCAGAAGTGTTCAAGCCAACCCCCCGCCAATCCATAAGCCAACCTCCACCCAAACTACGTCACTGCCGATGGTGTAAAGGATCCGTCTGCGCTGTTCCCAGTGGCACATTGATTAGTGATCAGTGTCCGTACATTAGAGAAGAGAAGATGTCGAAAGCTTGGCGCAGTGATAATCGAGTAAACCTGTTGAGTTTATTAGTAATTCTTTTAAAAGAAGAATCTTAGCTTTAGGTTTAATATATATATATATATATATATATATATATATATATATATATATATATATATATATATACATATATATATATATACATATATATATATATATATATATATATATATATATATATATATATATATATATATATATATATATATGTATGTATGTATAATTTCATTTTAATATTTTTAGGTGCCAGACTTGGAAAACTAACTACCAAAGTAGCAGTTCTACTTACAATTATAAATTTTGAGATTACCCCCTGCGACAAAACGCCTGATCACATAGAATTTGAACCTAAAAGTTTAGTGTTGCAGTCAAAAGTTGGAGTGCCTCTAATGTTTAAACGGTTTAATATAGAAGAATCTCTATAAATAAATATATATATATATATATATATATATATATATATATATATATATATATATTTATTGAAAAGGTTATGTTTTATTAATTTTATTTTTATTGATAATAAATGTTGTATTTTTAAAGTATGTGGTTCGTTGTTTAATTTAGTATACCTCGGCTAGCTCAATTATGTGTTCTTAGCAATCTGTCACTGTGTGACGTCGACTGTGTAGTCTCCTGGTAGAGTTCAAACAGAAATTAAACCAAAATTTACTTTAGACTTTTGATAAATTAACCCAAATGAAGCCCGTTATTTATTAATATTGAACAAATTTATTCTGAACAATAAAATTCGTTTGCAACTTGGGTTGCCTTTAAAAATTTACAAAAATAGAAATCGTGTAAACCTTAATATGGTTTAGTGTCGTGACAATAAAAATCGATTACAAAATGTGGAGACTTTCTACAAGTACCTGAAATCTAAATAAATATTGCAACTTTATAAAAATGTTTAAATGAACACTTTATTCCGCTGACTTTCAACTTGCATTCAAATATAATCAAAATTACAAATGATCCCCTAAATTATTATCCAACCTCACTTTAAAACAGTTCTGATTTCTTTAAAGAAAACTAACTTCTCGCAAAATAATCGGTGAAACTGGAATATCAATCCTCTCTTCGGAATTTAAGGCACGTACTACTCTAGTTTTAATTTAATGATCGTTAATATTTTTCAATTTATAAGGCCTATCGCAATTCTGTTAATTCATGAATTTTAATTTTCTCAATCTTAATGAAATTTCTGTAACCAATAATAATTTATAACTCAAAATTAATTTATTTAACAATTTACTAATCTTTTTCTCTCTTTTATTTCAGTGTCGACCCCACATTGTGATGGCTTCATACAATTCATGAAAAACAAACTCATATAAAAAACCATTTAAATTGTATCCTCTTTAACATATTGAAATCATTTCAACCCCAATTTGGATTTTGTTCAGTGCTAACTATCAGCACTTACTAAATCTAAATTCTTACCGGCAAACTTAAATATTTTATTAATATTAACATAACAATAAACTGACTTTTATTATTAAACATATCTCTAGAATATTTATTTTTTTTATAATTTATTCTATGACAAATACATAATTCTCAAAACAAAATATAAAAATCTTTCACTAATTTTATCAACTTCAGAATCAAATTTCCAAGTACTTTTTTCAATGTTATGGTTATATTGCCTGGCGATGCATAGGACAATCTCCTCTTCTTGCATAGCCGGTTCTAAGTATTGTGCTCTCTGGAATAACTGCTTTGCCTACAGATTGTGGTTGGTACTTTTTTCATAATTGAATTTCCCATAATACAACTGCTCCCTGAAACTAGCCTGTTGGTTTTCTCCACAAAAATTGTTAATAAACTTGGCCTCAAATTCCTGCACATTATTTATGGAATTTTCATTATTGCAAAACCATAATAATGGCATGCCCACTAACATGTTTCGAATATTCAATTTTATTTCTATCGGATCCCTTACATTCTTTACCTTATTTTTGATGATATCTACAAATATTCTAGGATGTAAGTGATTCAGGTTTCCGTCAAACTTAATTCCCCCATCATTATAACTCGGCATCACAGTACTCACTCCCCTTGTTTGTCCTAGATTTGATCCAAACGCTGAATCTCCTCACTTGCATTTTTAAATTTCTCTCTCAATTCCTCAACTTGTCCCTGTAATACTCTATCTCCCTTTTCCGCCTGATTTGCATGCATACCCATTTCCAGTTCCAAATTCTGCAATCTCTTCTTTATATTGTTTTTGATAATGGTAAGTTTTTCCTCATGATCCTGAGCTTGCCTTTTAACAGTTTCTACCTCCTTAACAATCTCTTTATTCTGCTTATTAACTTCTTTGTTTATTTCCCCTGGTAAATTTTCTTGAATGGATGTTCCCAACTCTAAAAATCTGCTCCCAATTTCCTGTCCTATTTCCGCTCTAAATATGGCCTTTTCTCTGGATATCTCCTCCTGTACATTCCTCTTAAAATTCTCACTTTCTCCTCTGACCTGTTCTACTTTCTCTTCTAAACCTTGGGTAATGTGTAGCATCTCTTCCCTGACTATCTTCACTTCTTTGATTTCTTCCCTCATTTTAATTAACTCTCCCCTAAGTTCTCCTTTAATATTATTTTCCATTTTGTTCATATCCCTCCTAATATTGTTAATATTACTATCCATTTTGTGCATCCCCCCCCTAATAGTATTCTTTATTTTGTTCAAATTCATGTCCAACATTTGTTGCATATTCTCCCTACTATTATAATCCATCTATTCTAGCATCCGCATTATTTGCTTCATATCCATCTGTGTCATCCCTGACTCTCCAACATCTCCTTCCCTACGTCTCTCCTCCTGCACTCTACTTTCATCCTCACTTTCATCATGTCTATCTTTCACTGTTTCATCCAACTCCTCTCTCAAACCATCTGTTAGACTTCCCTCTCTATCATCTTGTCCTGCTCCTTATCTGCCTTGCTCTAAATATTGTACTACAAAATCTCCTGATCCTCCTCTGCTTTCTTCATCTATCTGTATACCCTGTTCATGTTCTAACACCTGTTCTCCTTCACTCTGATTCGGTCCGACTTCTTTTTCATTTCTTAAAGTCATTCCGTCTGTCATTTTATCCTAATCTCTATTTGTTCTCAAATTTAACTTTAACTGCCCCAGAATCTCTGCAACACTAATCACACCAATTTGTTTTCACTCTAATCTGTGTAATATTAATAAATCTGCTTAAAAAACACTTATTTCTGTTTTCCCAGAGGCCTCACGTTGTTAGCGCCAATTGAAAAGGTTATGTTTTATTAATTTTATTTTTATTGATAATAAATGTTGTATTTTAAAGTATGTGGTTCGTTGTTTAATTTAATATACCTCGGCTAGCTCAATTATGTGTTCTTAGCAATCTGTCACTGTGTGACGTCGACTCTGTAGTCTCCTGGTAGAGTTCAAACAGAAATTAAACCAAAATTTACTTTAGACTTTTGATAAATTAACCCAAATGAAGCCCGTTATTTATTAATATTGAACAAATTTATTCTGAACAATAAAATTCGTTTGCAACTTGGGTTGCCTTTAAAAATTTACAAAAATAGGAATCGTGTAAACCTTAATATGGTTTAGTGTCGTGACAATAAAAATCGATTACAAAATGTGGAGACTTTCTACAAGTACCTGAAATTTAAATAAATATTGCAACTTTATAAAATGTTTAAATGAGCTATAAAGAAAAATAAACTGAACACTTTATTCCGCTGACTTTTAACTTGCATTCAAATATAATCAAAAAACAAATGATCCCCTAAATTATTATCCAACCTCACTTTAAAACAGTTGTGATTTCTTTACAGAAAACTAACTTCTCGCAAAATATTCGGTGAAACTGAAATATCAATCCTCTCTTCGGAATTTAAGGTACGTACTGCTCTAGTTTTAATTTAATGATCATTAATATTTTTCAATTTATAAGGCCTATCGCAATTCTGTTAATTCATGAATTTTAATTTTCTCAATCTCAATGAAATTTCTGTACTCCAATAATTTATAACTCAAATTGTTTCTCTTACTCTCTGGAACAAATTCTGGATATCTCTGCTCTTCCGAAACACTGGAAACTGTGGAGAAACTAAATTTTAATCAGACGAGTTGAAAACACTCCCGGCCTATTCGACAGTTCCGTGCAAGAGGTCTAAAATTAGCGTCGGCATCTCCAAAAATAATTTTTTCCGTTGCTAACCACAACCAACGTTCTTTTTTTCTTTTTTTCGTCTTCTATTTAAAATTTATTTAAACCATAAAACTGTCCTGTTCTGACACATTTGTCAAGCCACATTAATTTCTCATAATCACTTTAATCACATCTAATTTGGGAATATAAAAAAAAATGTTCAGATAAAAAACTTATTTTATTAATAAAATTTATTCTTTTCATCTACACATCATTGTAATTTCTTATTTAACAAAACCCCTATTAATTTAGCTACCACAGACTTACTTGACACTTTAAATAAATTTCCTTCATTTATTTTATTAAATTTTATGCTTAAATATTTTTTAAGAATTCTTCTTCTTTTTTTTAAGGTTTAGACGATTCACCTATACTCTAGGCAACTATGCTATTCAGAAATTATTGACACTATACCAGGTAAGTCAAAATTAATTTATTTAACAATGTACTAATCTTTTTCTCTCTTTTATTTCAGAGTCGACCCCACATTGTAATGGCTTCATGAAATTCATGAACAACAAACTCATATAAAAATTCATTTAAATTGTATCCTTTTTAACATATTGAAATCATTTCAATATATATATATATATATATATATATATATATATATATATATATATATATATATATATATATAAACACATAGGTCATTGATCTCTTTTTTTCTATTTTTATTTTTTTTGAAGATTTATAGTGTAAGCTAAATTTTTGTGTAGTTAATCTCCTTAAGCTAGTTCTCGGACGAAGAGTCGTCCTTTAAATATTATTATGACCAAGAACATGAAGAGTTCACGCATATAAAGATAATATAGAAATTTATTAATATTTTGGGAAAAGTCTTAACTTTTTTTTGAGTAAATAGAACAAATTAGTGTAAAAAATGTAAAAATAGTGTAAAAGATAAACGTAGTACAAATGTAAGCACAGTATATTTAAAAATATATTTAAATACTAAGTTTTGATGTACTATAAAAAATCTTTTTTTGCCTTTATCCGTATGCGGGATCGGTCTCCCTAATAACACTGCAGGTCTTCTTTTGACTTCCTCTTCCAATCCTCCTATGAGCCGCACGTCAGTAATTTTTCATATTGGGTAATTACCATTTCTACGTTGAAAATGACCAAATTATCTTAAACTATTTTGGCATCAGTTCACTGTACATCTCACACACAAATAGATTAAATTGAAATATTATCTGATGGATATCACTTATTATGTCT